TAAAGGTACAATGCATGTGTTGAGAAGGTTCTGTGTATTTGTAGAGGATGGAAATCCAGGGAAGCCACAGCTTGAAAGTATTCCACAAATCTGTTTTTTCAGGTGCAGTTACAAGTCCCCACCACACCTCAGCTGATGAATCAAGAGACAGGTCTATGCCTGAGGGTGTGGTTTGTAACATTTGTCTGAACGTTGCTTTTGGAGTTGCACAGCGTTGAACAGAACCATCAAGAAGGGTAATGTCAACATGACACGGTGACATCATCACTGTCACATTTAGGGAACACATTATGTCACGGGCCAAAAGATTAACAGGACAGGAGGGGTAAAGCAGAAAAGAATGATAAAAGGACAGATTATTCCATTTGCAAGGAACTTTTTCGGAAAGCGGTCACTCCTCTGTGTGTCCCGAGAAGCCAACAACATACGGTATGCCTTGAAACGGGGAGTGGCATGTTAAGTGTGAAATACCGGGCACCTGTGTCAACCATACACATATGATCTTAACCATTGATGGTTACCTTAACTAGTGGTTCAAGAAACATTTCCTAGGGGCACAGTGAGTCACCTGTTATCAGTTCTGGGCAGCCCTAATGTTGAGGTAACTGGTGTGAGCCAGGTGCTTGATGGTGGGAACTGCTGAACATGTCCATCCTGTGGAGGTGGGTAGACCTGATACTGATATAGCGGTACACCCTGTGACTGCTGGTATGAAAAGGGACATTTATGCGACCAGTGTCCTTTTTCATTAAAGATCCAGCACCTGTCATCTCTTGGCGGAGCTCTTCTGAGGGTCCGAGGTCCTTGACCTTTTCTCCGTGGTCTGCCACAGTATTGAGGTCCACAGTGCATGGGAGCAGAATCTGACTCATAAGGTGGTATGGTCGGCTGTGGAGCAAAGGGTTGCTGCCATGCATATAGCTATGCAGCATTCTGCACAGATATTTGATTAGCTGTAGCTTTACTTTGATTGACCTTGTCTCGCATTTCCTTCAACTGTGCTTTAGCTACCTGTGCCTGCAAAGAAGAAAGCTCCTTTGCATTCTTTTGTTGTGCCTCCAGCTCATTATCAATATATTGAGTGACATAAGCTGACCACTGCTCAAAAGCAAATGTGGAGAGCCCCACTACCTGTCTCAGCAGATGCTGTATGGATGAT